ATGACATCAGTTATAGTTTTCTGTATAAATTAGTGATACATGGAATGATCTCCCCATTGAGATCTGGACCCTTACTACGCTTCCGGCCTTCCGCAAAGTGACCAAGACCTGGCTGTTCCGGCAGGCCTGGGGCTGTTGATTTTGTCCAGCCCCATCCTAAGTTGTGAATGTTGTGGACTTTTTAATGTTTTGTTTTTTGTATGTCTTTCCCTCCCTTTTTACCTGTAAGCCGCCATGAGTCTTCGGAGAGTGGGTGGCATACAAACTAATTAAATAAATAAATAAACATCCTCAGTATATGGTGGTACTACTTTGAGCAGATTCAGGCCCAAATTGTCACTTCCTTATTAATGTAACAGTATCTTCTGGGATAGCTTATGAAGATGCTTAAAGTCACAAACTCAATTTTTTGTTCCCTTGCATCCATGGGACCCTTGGGGTGGAATGATTTGGAAACCAGGACTGGGACAGAGTGCTTCTATCTATTCCATTTGTCTCTAAGGTAGATGAAACTTGTCAAACTGGGAAAGCAGTGGTTCTTCAAAGATTCTGACCACTTCTGATTAGGTCAGAAAAAAAATCAGAGTAGTTGAAAATCTCATTTTAAAAATGGCAGTGTCTCATTTTAAAATCTGTACATGCTTTTGAAGGCAGTACTAAGATGAAATCATTTGTAAAACTGCCACTGTAACCAGGGTTTCAATTTTTTTCTGATCTATTATTTGAAAAGCAGGAAGAGAAGATGTTGCTATGGGAACCAGGATATATTGCTTTGATATAGCATATTATGAAAAAGATACCTAGAATGAAATTAAATTTTGCATGTGTATCATATATATGCTGCATTGTTCAACAAAATCATATTTTCTGCAAGATTTTGTTTACTGTTCTGAACTCTGACAGGAGGGAGGGAGGGAGAGAAGGAAAAAAAGGAAGGAAGTTAGTTGAATATGTGAGTCCACATTATTTATTATAAGACTCCTAGTTTTTTAAGCAAAAGGTTTTGGCGAAATATTGTATGCATCAAAATCTTTGTTGAAATGTAGATGCAAAATGCTATTATTTATACCGTTGTTTTGAAGATATTCTTAATATTGCCAATTAGCAAAATATATGACATTAATAAATCTACCTTTTACATAGAACATCCAAAATGTTTTCCAGAATAGGCTTAGGCTAGGAATTTTAAGACAGTCAATTTTAAGACCCTTTGCTGTTTGGTGAATAGTGCATTTCAGGAACTGATTAGGTAGATACCAACTGGTTCTTCTGGTCCTTTCAGTAGCATTACTACCATGGATTATTGTATCTTTCTGAGGTAGTGAGCCAGTAGGGGATTTTGCTAGAGTAGCTTGGAAAAAGTACTTGTGTAATTATTCTACTGTAATCTTGATCTGGTTGAGTAAACACAGAAGAGCCTGCTGAAGGACTTGAGTTTTAAGGCCATGGCCTCATCAAATCTTGATTTTCTCCAATCAAGGGAATAGGAGCACATTCCAACTTCCTGATGGCTTCCCCGTTGAGTTTCCTTGGGGGAAGCTGGCAGGAAGAATTATAAATCCTTCCTTCCCTCCTCCTTTCTTAATAAAGGATTTATCAGGCCAGTCCAGGAACATAAAACAATCCAGCCAAAGTTCATTTATTTGTTCACACTAAAAGGACAGAATCTTGCCAGACTGAACCTTTACTACTCTTACCCTAATGGATATACTAAGAGATTCTAGGAGTAGCTACCTCTGATTCCTATCCAGTTGCGGGATATTGTCTTCTGTTTTGCCCCTCCTTGGAATGAACTCCCTCTTGGGAAACTGCCGCTTCACTGTAGTCCACCATACCACCTCCACCTTTGTAGGTATAGTCCATTGCAGAGTATCCCCAATATCCATTCTCAGCAATGGATTTACATTGTGGAAAAGTGATTACTTTTAAGATATTGAAAGCAGAGGCTGTATTTGTTTGCTTGCACCCAAAGCACAGCCCTGATGAAAGTAGGTCTCCAAAGTATTACAAATTGTATGTACTTAAGAACAAATGATTGTATTTGCATCATGTGAAACTTTAGAATTATGACCAATTATGGCAAGATATATTCAGCAAAAATTGTTTTGCCACAAAAAATCAACATTACAACACTATAGAATTTTTAATCTTCCCATTCAAACTGATAGTATTTATGTTTAAAATATGATGGTCTATGGCAGTGTTTTTCAACCACTGTGCCGCGGCACACTAGTGTGCCGTGACATAGTGTAAGGTGTGCCGTGGGAAAATTACTTTATATATAGTCAATATAGGCACAGAGTTAATTTTTTTTAACATTTTCTAATGGTGGTGTGCCTCGTGATTTTTTTCATGAAAAGTGTGCCTTTGCACAAAAAGGTTGAAAAACACTGGTCTATGGAATGGAGACAGGACAGAATGAAAGGACAGAATTTTTTCGTACCTTTTGTAATTTCTGAAATAAAGTTTATATGTGAATGTTTAACATTAGTTCCTATCAGGGATGAATAATATTGCTGTAACAGTAAGGATCCTGAGCTAACCTTACAGTATTTTTACCGGCTATGCATCTCAGCTTCTAATAGTACAAGTTAATAGTTTAAATTGAAAAATAATATTAGATCTGGTAAACTTTATATGATTCACTCTATTTTTCCTATAACTATTTATAAATGAAAGCATTCCTTTTCATGCACAAGATCAATTTAACAAAGCAAATTTTTCTTTTTCTGATTTTACACCTTATGAACAATTTCTATACAAGGGTGATTTTTCTTTTCAAAGGGTTTTCCAGTCAAAATGAATCTTGTCTTCTATTTTTTTATTTCTCTGAAGTTCAGTGGGATGAATCTTTAATATATATCTTTATTTGATTTGAAGTTCAAACACTTTATACAATTTTAAAAATGACTTTTATTAAACTAGCATTTCATAATATTATCGATACCGTGGCAATATTCAGGAAGAAAAATTCATTTGGATGACATTCAACATTTCAATATGAATAATCTAGAATGTTTTGCAATCTTGTTGAATGCATTCAATTCAACAACTGACATCATATATCAGCAATGGCGAACCTTTTTTAGCTCGCGTGCCATAAGTGGGGGGGGCACATGGGGGGGTCATGTGCGGGCATGCTGCACCCATAATGCAATGTATGACCCTCCCAGTGCACATGCATGCACTACAGGCGCTCCCCCCCATTTTTTGCATGTTTTCGCCCTCCCCAGGCTCCAGAGGCTTTATAGGAGCCTGGGGAGGGTGAAACAGCCCCCCCGGAGGCTTCAGGGACCTTCAGGAGGCTTCCCTGAAGCCTCTGGAGCAGTCAGAACAACCCTCCGAGCAAAGTGGAAGCCACTTCTGGTTTGCTCGGAGGGTCGTTTTGAGCGCTCCAAAGGCTTCAGGGACCTTCAGGAGGCTTCCTTGAAGCCTCTGGAGCAGTCAAAACGACCCTCTGAGCAAAGCGGAAATCACTTCCGGTTTGTTCGGAGGGTCATTTTAAGTGCTCCAAAGGCTTCAGGGATCTTCATGAGGCTTCCCTGAAGCCTTCGGAGCAGTCAAAATGATCCTCTGAGCAAACTTCCGGTTTGCCCGTAGGGCCGATTTTTGCGCTCCGGAGGCTTCAGGGAAGCTCATGAAGCCTCCAGAGGGCCTCCATGGGGGTGGGGAGGTTCTTTTCGCTCTCCCCAGGCTCCTATAAAGCCTCTGGAGCCTGGGGAGGGCGAAAAATGGCTTTCAAAAAGGGTGAACTCAGCTGGTCAACGCACACATGCGTGCTGGCCAGCTGACAGGGCAGCGCCTCGCGTGCCCTGACAAATGGCTCTGCATGCCACCTGTGGCACGCGTGCCATAGGTTCGCCATCACTGTCATATCATGCCAATGAGCACTGCATTACTATAAATTTTCTCCATGTAGAACTATTAATGCATTGAATTAAAAAAAGACTATAAACGTCCTAAATTGCATGAGCAATTAATGTACCCCTTTCATGCTCTTAAAATCAAATATTCCTAGAGATTATAGATCTGTTCAGTTACATATGTTATTGAGGATAATTTATATACAGCAAAAACATTAGAGAATTTAAACAGTACATAGATTATATTTGCTGACTGAAACTGATTCATCTGAATTGTTTACATATCTTATACACACAAAGAAAACATTACTATTCCTGAGTTTTCATACAACATTTATTATTTCTATTTGCTAATGCCACCTTCCCATCTAATGATGTTCAATAACCATGACAACTTGTCTTGATAAAACTTGAATGAAGACAGCTTGGTAATTTATAGTTATAGTGAAAAGACCAATTACATTTATAATGCATACATTTTTATATATGTACAATGATGTAGAATAACATCACAATTCCAAAGTCTCTTTGAAAAGTTCTAATATTTATAATGTGTATATTAGAGGTTTCAATCTCAGTTCAGTTCTTGATTATGGTCACTGACCAATATGTGTTTCAATTCACTTTCCATAGATAAAATGCCTACCATTCTGTCATTTCACAGAAAAAAATAAAGATAAAAATAGCAACTTGAAAAATCTTGGGAATGTATGTTGCTAAGTGGAAGCTATGTTGTAAGAATTCATTCCTTGATTTGATGACTACAGTCTATGTGTTTCTAATTCTACTTTATCTTCAGTCTGTAATGATTCAGATTCACTTTGAGCAACAGGTGGTCGCAGTATGATTTCTGGGCCTCCTCCATAGATTGACAGTAGAAAATTCCATGTTTCTTCGGAAATCTGTCCAGAATCAGCTCCTAAAAAACATGCATTTCCATAAATTTTACCTGACATTTTAAAACATTTAAATCTGGAAAGCACTTATAAATAACTTAATATAAAAAACTCAGGTTTAAGAAGTTTAGTATTACCTGAATTGGTCTGTGACTGATGTGATATAGATGATAAAGATCAAGCTATTATCTACTGTTTGATGTTATTTTTCTTTGTGAGTTATTAAGTAAAGGGGATTTATAATTTCTTTCACAAATCTTACATTTTAAACTACCTGTTCACAGATTTTCAAAGTTTAATTTTTGTACCATAAAGGTGAAATGTCCATTATTTTTAAACAAAAAAATATTGTATGCTTAGAAAATCACTATAGTGAGATGACAAAGACATTTCTCTACAAGTCACATTGAACTACATATAGACTTTTAGAGACAAATTCAGAGTTTTTTTAAGAGCAATAACAAGTGTTAAATAGAAGATTTTGTCACATATGTTTCAAGTAGTTCCTATTCAGTAGTTAATACAACTAGATTACAACATACGCCTGTTGACACAGCAGTATTTAAAGACATTTTAATTATAGTTGAAGGCTAGAGAATAATGTGTGTAATTTCTTCTTATTTCTATATTATGTGAAATGGGATATAGTGAATCTATATGTTAATTTGAGCTAAGTGGAGCGTCCTCTATATTCTATACTTTTGAGAATAGAAGGGGCTTATTTGTTTATGGAACTATTAATCACATAGGAAAAACGTACAGATCATACACAAAACAATCATAAATGAACATGACCACTGGTAGATTTGCATGCAGAGAACTATTATCAGTGTATTCATACCTTGTTTAAGAACAAGCGAACCACATTTACTGACACCAATTTTGGTATTGTCAATGGGACCTGGTGGATCTAATGAAATAAAATACGTTACAATGTAATATAATAATACTATTTAAATAAACAAAACCCCAAAGAAAATTTCTCTCATATTTTATAAATTATTTAAAAACTCCACATAATAAAATGTAGCAAAATACACATTTCAATCTGTGGTGTACAATTTGAAACAGCTGCATACAAATTTGGAAAATGTTGTTTGTAATTGAAAGAAATTCACCCATTAAATCCTTTATCAAGGCTCCCAAACTGCAGATCCAATAGGACTATTTATCTACATGCATAGTTGCCATGTACTCTTATTAAGTGATGTGCAGAATTCAATGCACTGCCCTGTGATTTTAATGCAGTTATTTACTACCTTATTAAAACCATGTGATATTTATATAGCATGTTCTTGCAGACTCTTTGAATTACAAAAGTACTCACCGTTGTCCTTGCCCTTCACAAACGCTTCCCATTCTCTGAACCATTGCATACTGATGCAATAGAATATAGATGGAGACTCCTCCTCTTGGAATGCTCTGTTCAACTAACGGACAGAAAGAAAATTCTAAAAGCAGATGTGGACAAGCCTAACATAGATGCCTTAGATTCACTGTTACTGTCCTCAAAACTCTCCAAAATTACAAGTGCATATTCACAAATTAAATGCTTAAAAAGTGTTGGATAATGTTCCTATTATTATTTTAAAAAAGAAAAGTTATTGACATGAATAAAACAAATACACATATATACATAGTCTCTTCTAGTGTATCCATATACTTCTAAACCTCATTATTCCTATAACGACAAATTTTGAACTAAAGTACCTCAAATAGGCTAACTTACAGAATGCACCCCAAATCCAGCAGCCGGCCATGCCATCCATGGAATTGAATTTTTTCAAATTGTATAAAATATTTTATGACATAACAATCATACAACAGTATATGGCAAAATACAGAATGTCATAAAACATTTCCTGTGTTGATGTTTAGCTGTTCAACACAGGCTATTTTTTAGGCAGATAACATTTCTGAAAGTAACTCAACTTTTCCAGTGAAGGCAGTACATTAGTTCTGTCACTGTTGAAGGCATTGAGGAACCTTTTAAGGAAATATTTCTGGAAGGATGACCCAGCTAATCATTGGTTGTCAATTGTACTACTAAACGTCTATGTGTAATCCTTAACTGGGCAAAACAGTGCATCATAGAGCAAGAATTCTTTAATCAAAGTAATTCAAATGGCCTAACTTAAAAAATGTGTCTAAAATCTCAAACTCCTATGGAACTGAAATTAGCAAATTTTGAGAAACATTTTATGACATACACATTATCATAAAACATTTTGTAACATAGTACATAGTACATTCCCTGTGTTCAACTTCTGATGCTTGACTGCTATGCAATTCTACATGGGCTATGCAACTGCTATGCAATTCTACATGGGCTACTTTCAAGGCAGATACCTCTCTGAATATCTCCTGAATTTTAAAGAAGGAAATAATTTCTGAAATAATGACTCAATAGTCAAAGATTATCTATTATTAAAACTTAGTGTATACGATGTTGCTTAAAAGTTCATTAATCCTTTTGAATTTCTGCATAAATATGACATAAAATCTGTTTTTCACACAAGCCCTAAAATTAAGAGAATAAAGAGAAATACTGAACATTCAAAAGGGTTCACAAACTTTTAAGTAACACTGTCTGTATAAGCGCTAATAATATTCATTATGCTTAGAAAGCATATCATTGAAAACAAATGGATATTATATATACATTTTTTTTAAAATCCCCAGCTCCTGAAAATTTCATATTGTGGCTTTTTATACATCCTGTGTAATGCTTCATCCTGTAATAATCATTTCCTTTTCAGTCAGAAGTTGTTCTTCACAGATTGTAAATCAAATTTTCTCAGTTCTGAAATTCTCTATTATGACATGCCAAAATGGATGCTAAGAAAATATGAAACTTTACATTTCTTTTGGCAAAAATAATTATGAATTATTTTGAATAATTTCAAATATTAAGCTTAGATTGGTTGTGTACTTTTTTCTATTTGCAATGGAACTTTGTCCTTTGATGGGTCCTACTAGTAGAAGAACTGAGGTAGTATATTTTATTTTCCCTTTTAAAGCCCACATATCACCACATTGTTTTGAAGAAGCTCTCTATACCTCTTTCGGGCAAAGAAAATGTGTGAAATTAATACAAATGTTCTATATGTAGCTCAAAATGTCTCAAGATGAAAGTTATTGATTTTAAATATTTCTAACTCAAACAAATACATAATTTAATAAAATTAAAAAAAAACATATTTACACGAATAAACATTTCCAGTTCTGTCTTCCGTCTTTTTTCTATTTTCTCTGTTTCCATTTGACAGGTATAACATACATACAGATGATTAACTGCTGGTCCTCCACCATATCTGTGATAATAAATTATTAAATAAATCTCCATGTATTAGATTTTATAGAATCGAACACTATATTTAGAAAGCAACTTTTTTTGTTCACATTTTTTAAAACTTTTAATAGAAATAAGCCACACATATCTGAATTAGTTGAGCATGGTATATCTATTATTCCCAAACTAGTAGTGATATATCAAAACGTGAACGTCTTTTTTTTTTACATTTTAGAAATAAGGGTGGTTCTACTGTTTACTTTTTCCAGATCGTATATAAAACAGTATTGTTTTTATTCTGCTTTCTAATATATTTTTCATTGTACTGTTTCTTTGTTGCTTGATATAATAGAATCTTTGATTTGTTATACATATTTTGACTAAAAAAAGTTTGAAATATAATACATGATTTTATAGTAATTTTTGTCCTACTCACTGAAATGAAAGAAATAATTGCAATGTAAAATATTTGCTGACATACTATTTTTCTGCCATGGTAAATCTGTAAACTTTTTAAAGAATTCAGAAAATCCAAGACAATCATATTGTAGTATTAAAAAAAATCAATTTAGAACTGTTACTTTCACAATATACAACTTTTATCCTCTTCAGAAAACAGTTTATCACCTTTCCCTCTGTGCACATTGACATTTATATATGGGATTTACACCAATCCTCAACATATTTAACTCAGAATTGCATTTGTTTAGTAGGGTTTATTCTTGGGAAAATGCCTGACAGTATCTGCTTAATTATAACCACATTTGTTTGAAAATCTGTCAGCAGGAAAAAAATATTTAATTCTTTAAAATAAGTATCATATTAAGTCCCTACTTTGTAATGCCTGCTTTATCTACACAAAAATATCATATTATAGCCCATTTTGGAGGAAACTATAGTACTTTTAAAATATTGCAAGAGTATGTATGTTTGAATTAGTGTCTATAAAGAACTGATTATGGAGAAGTACTATATTAAGGCAGACATCAAGTTTTCCCTCTAATGTACTAAAAGTTTCTGCTATTTCTGATTTTTAAAAGAAATTCTCCAAATGCAATTAAGTGATGCACTTTAAAGAAAACGTAGCCATGCAAAGACAGATCAGATCTTGAATTAAACTACAGTGGAGTAAATCATACTGGGGACAGAAATGTTCTATTGAAAACAGCAGCACTAATGCAACCATAATATCTACTCACATAATTCTATTTAGAGATTGCTGTTTAAGCCAGAAGATGCATTTGTATTTAGAAACAAAGTGAAATTAATTGGTTTTCTCTTTCCCTAATCCTGAATCATCCTTGTCTCATGCCAGTTCACACCTTATCAGATGGGTAGTAGAGGTGCATGCATGGAAGAGAATAAATGAAAACAGTATTTCTGCCTTCTATTTATAGATGTTTTGCTAGATTAAAGAGGCTTAGAAAGTGCTAGCCTACCACAGGATTCAGTAAAATGTTCTGTACTACACTATTTGCAGATTTTCCAATTAACTTCTTTTTGATAATGTTATTATTTCCTTGGCATAATAAAATCAGGCATCAAATGTAATTGTTTCACAATTAAAATTTACCTGCTGTACAAATTATCCCATATGTTCTGAGGAAGTATTACAACCAGATCTTCTATAAAAGAAGCTTTGTGTGGAGGAACTCCTATAGAAATATAGTTTTAAAAAATTAAATATGATTTAGATAAAGGAGTAGAAACATTGAAGTAAAGCAGTTTTTAAGCAGCAGTGAAAGCATAAAACATTTATGAAAGAAACAACTTCCTACTTTTATATTAAAGCTTCTGAGTTTCTACCCCAAAGATAGGTACAATCTAAAGAACTAAACTGTAGCCCAACAAGTCATGAATAGTAATTAAGGCCCTACATATTTTTTACTTTCAAATAATAAGTTATCCAAAGTTTGTGTTTGTAATTCTAACAGTGAACCAGTTAGCTTTACATTTGAAGAAATGGATTCTACGTCAGAAAAATTCAGGCTGTGATCTGGATAATCAAAAAACAAATTAACTGAGTACACAGCGAAATTCTCATTTAACTGAATAAAAATTCCAGTTAAAAGATGTAAGGACAAAAATACATAGGATGGCAAAAATGGTCAAAAACTCAAGTTACAGAAACAATAGGATTTATTGTTCCAGGTATAAGATGAAATGTTATGTTCATAGGAGAATAATTTTATATGATTGCAGTCTCACCTCCATGTATGCAGAGAAAATCATTATTTGAAATAGGTCCTGGTTCAGCAAAAGTTCTGAATTTATTCAGCCATAAACGTGAAATATAAAATTGAAGGAGGCTTGGTTCCATAACATTAAGGCTTGACACTCTCTCTCTCTTTTTTTTAGCTTCTTCATTACTTTTTCTTTTGAAAAGAAGCAATATTAACATTAGTTAATGTATGCTGCTTTGAAATGAGTAGTGTTAACAGGTAATCTCTACATGTTGATAGGGGAAAAGACCTCATCCAGACTTTTGTTGAAATAAACGAAGAATCTTTTTTTAGATCTATTACTCTACATGACTAAAAATATTAACTTTAAGATAGCTAAACTCAATATGGCATACTATGCGCTAATTTTCAATTTAAAAAAAGCAAGATTACTTCAAAACTTGATATCTTCAAAATATTTGAGTTCATGATAAACTGAACTCAGAACTACTCTTTAGAATCAGAGAAAAACATATTAATTCCTGCAAAGAAGCACTTTGAAAAAAGCCATATTGAGTTACAATTAAAGCTAATAAAGCCTCTAACAATTGGGAATGACTATCCTGTTTTTTTTTCAACTGTTTGTTATGATTAACAGACTTGTATCATTTTTTTAAAAAAAAAAGCAAAAGAAAGGAGGGGAATGTTTTTGTAGATTCCCTCTATCTTTAATTCTGTCATCAACTACACAGAGTAGAATTTTACAAGTTGTAAGACCAGAAGGAAGATTGGCAGTATTGTCTCCTTCTTTTTCTTCCTGTGACAGCATTGACTAAGCAAAACTCAACTCAAACAATACTTTAGCTGACAGTGACAACCTCTGCATCTCACCATTGTTTTGCAACTTCAAACTTGCTTTCTCACCTGTAGAAGAGAACATAAGCTTCTGCATTTTGGATAGTTGATTCTGTTACTTCTGTGACACTTTGATCATCAAACTCATACCATCGATTATTTAAATTATTTCGACAATAAGCTATATAATGCCCATCTAAATTAAAGAACAAAATTAAGATTTTTTTTGTTTTAAAATTGCAGAAAAAGTAGATTGGTACAGATTAATGTAATAACATTTTTACATCAGCTGCATAATGATGTAACATACCATACATATAGCCTACGAAAACAGATTATATATACTCACTGATTGCAGTTCCATGGTGGCAAATGACAGACAAAAGGTCATAAACTGCTATTTGAGCAGGACTGTCTTTAGCAAGAAAAGGTTGAAGATCAAGTCCTTCCAAAGGAAAGGATACATGAGTTCCAATTTTTGTGGAAAACATAAGATCATGTCTGAATCTTTTGAGATGAATACATAAAATCTGTGAAAAACAATCAACAGAATTATTTGAAAATGGATGTTTACCTTTTATTTTAATATTTAAGCAACAGATTTCTTATTAAACAGCCAATGACTTTTTATTTCCTCATAGAAAATGAAATTACCATAGAAATCTTTATTTAAACTCCTTATTCTATAGCACACTGTGGTTTCTTTAGGAAAGGGAGTAATGAAACAGAGAATGTCTTAAGTTCTTTCTGCAACCTCCAATTTTGCTCCTTTGCTCCCAGTACAGTAGAACCTCTGATCATGAATGGTTCTGACCTCGACCAAATTGAGTTCTGACCAAACAATTTTTTTTTTTCGTGACCAATTTCCCCTTCCACACCAATTTATTTTTGTAAGCACCAAATTTCCAAAATTAGGTTTCGGTCACAACCAAATTGGTTTGTGACCAAAGTTATGGAACAAATTATGGTTGTGACCAGAGGTTCTACTGTATTTAGTTGTGGGGTTGTTTTTACTGCTCCATTTGAAAGTGCTTTATGACATCACAATTACACCATAGCTATTATATGATACAACTAAAAATCATCTATATTNGGAGAGGACGTGGATCCTTTGCCTGCCCCCCCCCCCCAACTATAGTGCCCGCTGGGTTCCCCTCAGCAGCAGCAGCAACGGCGGCGGCAGCTCCTCTTCCGCTTCCTCCCCCCCATATTCCCTGCGCAGCCCGCGGAAGGGCGGGGGGCGCTCCCTGCAGCTCCGCCTGCTGGTTCACTGAGGAAGGTGACGGGGCCTCCCTGAAAAGGCCAGAGGGTTTGAGGAGAGACGGCGGGATCTGCCATCCGGCTACCCTGCTTCGCTTCTCTCCTCGGAGAACAGCCGCGCGACAACCAACCGGCCTTCAGGGCGCTGCACGTCCGGTCCTTGCCCTGGCGGGGAGCGGAGGAACTAAAGTCAGGCTTTCTGCCCGCGAATTCTCGCTAAGTGACCCCCCCCCCCGCTTTTTCTTTTGAAATTTATATACTGCTGTAAAACCAGCGGGCCTTAAAAGAGCCTTTTCTACTGGCTGGGAATGGATGGCTTCAGATTGGGGAACCCTGACTTAATGACCATTTTTCACACTTACGACCTTTGCAGCACCTTTCCCCCACGGTCATGTGATCAAAATTCAGCTGCTTGGCAACTGGTTCATATTTATGACGGGATCCTGGGGTCATGTGATCACCTTTTGTGATCTGACAAGCAAAGCCAATGGGGAAGCCAGATTCACTTAACAACCTACTAACAACAACTTCAGTGATTCACTTAATTGTGACAAGAAACGCTGTAAAACGGGGCAAAACTTATCTAACAAATGTCTCACTTAACAGCAGAAATTTTGGGCTCAATTGTCATGTCGAGGACTAGCTGTACAGATGTAGTTCTTTCGGTGTAGCATTTAATATAAATATTGAAATATGATTTAAGTTTTATTTATTTTTGTAATAACATTGAAGAGAATCTTGAAAAATAAAATAAATTTAGGTAAATTAAGAAATATCCATCATAAGTAGATATGATTTGACTTGCAGAAAGTACTTGGGCAGAATAAGCTGGTAGGATCCCAGATGGCAAACTGCTGGTATCCTAAATATTTATTTATTTTGAATATTTATTCGTGAATATCTCTGCAAGGTAATATCATAATTAATTATATTGGAATACAAGGATATACACGTTATAAAAAAGAAACCAGTATTCAACTGCTTTTGATTCCAAGTGCAATATGGCAGGTTTGAATACATAGTAATGTCTTTTGAATTGGAATTGTCTCATAGTCTTCTCTGGATTCATGAAATAAATCATTTCTGATATTTTATTTATCACATTTAGAAACTTCCCATTTTCCACACAGAATGAATCTGCAAAGTGTACATGGAAGGCATAAAAACATATCTACATATAAATATTTTCATGCAAAATTTTCAAAGTTTGAACTTCATATTTTGATAAATATGTAGTTGTGTACTTGTACTTTAGAAGATCCTTTTTTGCACAAGAATTGTATTAAGAGTGTTTTAGAGACAAGCTTTTTGCCTAAGGTGAAAAATGACTTTCCAATCCCTCTTTTTACTATACAGTGGAAAGTGGAAGTCATCTTATCATACATCATGTAACATCTGCACTTCTTTGCTCCGAGTGTTTTTTGGAAGGTGTATTATATAGCATTTTAATAGTTTATATAAAAATGGAACATTGTATAACTGCTTAAATAGGTTTTTTTGGTGGGGGTAGCAGTTGTTGCAATGTAGATGTATTGTAATACCACTCTTCTCAGTGATAGTCAGCATGAGCAAAATATTTTTGAGTTGTATTCCAGCTGAAAAGATCTGTTGGAAAAGACTGAGTTACAGTTTCAGCCTATAAGAAACAAAACCCAACATTAACTTTTCACAGCCTCAAAATACATCAGATGTAGCATGCAGGATACTGTACTTTCATCTTGCATGAACAGTGAATAAAAATATTAAAAAGTGCACATAATTCTACAGTAAATACTTTCCTTCCAAGCTTTATATATCCTTACAGTCTACCGGTACATCTTGGCTATTAAAAATTCATGTTATATAATATTGATGTTTGAGTTATATTTACTGAGCTACACACTTGAATCTATATATATATTTACTTGAATAGAATTTACTGAACTCAGCAAGGCTTCCAAGTGAATTCAAGGAAAGCAATCTGACATTAATGCGAACTCTACAAAGGAAAATTATGCAAAAAGGGCTGTGTTGGTTAATTATTTTTAGTTACAAGCCATCTGTTTGTGAAACTCCAATTTTTTACTTCATAGAGAATGTCTGTCCAAGTATTGCCTTCTTGGAAACTTCCAAAAATAAGACAAATAATTTTTTAAAATCATAGTATGCTGGAAGGCAATTTAGAGATACCTGTTCTAGGAATTCCATGTTGCAGTGTCTCTGAAAGATGGTAATTCTGCCTGTCTTAAATAACTAACAAAAAGAGAGATTCCACTACTCCTAATAATTCCTAATAATGTAATAGGCAGCCTGTTACATTATTAAGAATTTTCTTCTGATGTCCAACCAGTATTGACTACCTTGTAACTTAAAAGCCCTTGGATAATTATCCAGACCTATTTCAGTTGGTTTCAGACAAGGGTGTAGTATGGAGATCACTTTGATTGTATTTGTCAAGCTGGGACAGGTTAGTGCATCCACCCTTGTGCGCCTTGCTTTTTTTCTTCTTCAAAACACTGCAATTAAAATGGAGTTCCAACAAAGGAGACATTTCTCAGAGAGAGAAGTCTACTTGTGGAAAGTATGCAGACAATACAAGAATTTGGAATACTTTTAAAAAACATAATCCATCACATCTGGTTAGATCAACTAGATCAGTGGTTCTCAACCTGTGGGTCGGGACCCCTTTGGGGGTCAATGACCCTTTCACAGGAGTCGCCTAAGACCATTGGAAAACACACATTTTCAAAAAAAAAAATAGGGAAAATATAAAACAATTTTATGGTTGTGGGTAACCACAACATGAGGAACTGTATTAAAGGGTCATGGCATTAGGAAAGTTGAGATCCACTGAACTAGATCCATTTTTTTCTCCTGTTTCAGTCTTCACCCAACAAACTATAATAAATGCAGTATCACTTAAACCTGGATATGATCGTCCATACTCATTTCTTCTAAAACAAACAAAACAATTTCCCCCTCTTCAATCATTAGAACCCCCCCATAATGGTTGGGGGCAGGGAGGAAGGCACTAGATCTGCTCAATTGGATTTGATTGCTGCATAGATAAAAGCTTCAAACTGATTCCTTTTTCTATAAATAATGGATAGTTACTTCATAGCGGCCAATTATATATTCTTTCAAGAAGGGGTATTGCAATTCTGCTATGAGAATAAAACTGGGTATGGGAGATTGTTTAAAACATCAGGTGTGTAGCAAGTTCTGGTGGCTGAGGGGAAAAGCAGATGACAACCATATTTCATCCTAACAAGTTTTTTGATAGGCAGACTGCATAACTGGCTGACTTACTTTGTGCACTTCCTTCATTGCCAGGATCTTTAGATTCAGTTTAGCTGATCTTAGTTCTTTCTCCTTGGCTCTGGCAATATAATGTGGGGCATCCAGAACTGAAAATGACATCAGTTATAGTTTTCTGTATAAATTAGTGATACATGGAATGATCTCCCCATTGAGATCTGGACCCTTACTACCCTTCCGGCCTTCCGCAAAGTGACCAAGACCTGGCTGTTCCGGCAGGCCTGGGGCTGTTGATTTTGTCCAGCCCCATCCTAAGTTGTGAATGTTGTGGACTTTTTAATGTTTTGTTTTTTNTATTTGTAATCCATAGTATCGGTAATATTTTATCCTGAATTATTTTATTTAGGTAATTCTCCAGAGCCTGGAAATATTCAGCTGACCTTTGTTGATCTTAGAAGCTAAGCAGGGTCAGCCCTAATTAGTATTTGGTTGAGGACAACCTGGCAATGGAAAACCACACTTCCAAGAAAATTACATGAATGCAATGACCAGGAAGCAAATTAGACTAGACTTTAATTCTCAACATTGAGCGTCTCTTAAGTACATTAATAATTATATCAGAAGCAACAATTCTACTTTCAGATAAGCACAAAAATATACCTATTTCTATGGCTGTTTAATATATGATGATAGACGTTAAAAACAATTAGAGTTTCAGGATTATTCTCAGTCACCTCAAATGCAGCACTTTTCAATGAAAGTCAAGCTCCAATATGAATTACATTAAATTTAAACATGGTAAGTGAACAACTTAAAATATACTAGTCCTATCTAAAACTGTTGTGTAGAATGTATCAGTTCTCAAGACTGATAGGGCTTCAAGTGACTTGTAAAAAATCAGTTGAACTCTTCCCCATTATCAAGGAATCACATTCTCATAAGGTTATGAGAAAAAGACCTAGAAAATCTTAGCCATAGCTATGATTTGAGCTATCAATGGAAAATACTATTCTTGCTAGAATTCTTATATTACCACTCTTTCATGAATCTTGCTAACTCTTGGTTGAAGGAGCTACATAAAATGTAATTCAGGCTAGGGACCATAACAACATACAGAAGAAGTTGATTTGTTTGACTGTTATCTGTTAAACTGTTAAAAGATTCATCCTGAAAAATGAAGAAATAGAACTAAATATAAATCATTACATGAAGTAATTTGTTCTTCTGTTCACACTGATTTATTATGAAAGTGTTGGGGGGAGGACAGGACATTTTTATCCAGCAAAGAAAAGAAAAGAAAAGCACATTACCTCAGGGAAGTGTTGAACTTTGCAGAATTTTACTCCATTTCTTAACCTGAAGTAAAGTTCACATGTAAATACATTGTAAAAATTATTGACCACAATGTTACAAAAATTCTAGCTGTACTATTTTAGAAATGGAATGGAATTAGAAACTTACAATTTCTCCCAGTTTTCACACAATATATAAATCAAACATGATAACATCTAACATATATCTTGGTAAAGTACTAAACTCAACAACAACAAAAAAATTGGGTGCAATTCCAAAACATCAAGATTATCACTTTGACACCATCAGTCAATTGCAAAAGGCAGCTATTGCAACAGCTTACATCCTGCAACAATATATTTAATATTATTAAATAACATTGGCCTATCCTAGGTCCTTGGTTTGATAGGTGGACAAAATACCAAATACAATCTAAACATCTGGCTGACTTTGAAACCAACTATAATCTATATTATTATAATGACAATGAAATGCCTTTTCTTTCCAACTATTTATTTTCTGCCTTTACAATAGCTGAAAGCAGCAAACATATTCCTCATCCTGTTTTGTCCACAACAACCCTATTAGATGGGTTGGGCTGAGAGAGAGTTACTGTCCCAAGGTCACCCAGCTGGCTTTCATGGCCACAAATGGAACTTGAATTCAGTCTCCTGCTTTCTACCCTAGTTTCTAAACCACTAGATCAGGGGTGTCAAACTCGTGTCATCACATGATGTATTGGGACTTTCTCTCCCCCCCCTTCACTAAATCGGGCAGGGGCAGGGCCAACACATGATCCATATGTCCCAAGGAGCATGAGTTTGACATCCCTGCAGCAGGTCAAACTGCCTCTCAGACCAAACTGGTTCTAATGGAGAATATATGGCTGTAATTCTGAATTAAAAGTGTTAACCCGGAATCTAAAGTGTTTTTTTAGTGTACTTGTTAAGATTTTACTGCATTCTGATTTATTAAGAACAAGTAAGTATGCAGTACCTCACTTGTCATTTGGTATCTTTTCAAGGTTGCCCAGGCCAAGAAGAAGACTTCTCAAGCACTACTGGACCTCTATTGTGACAGGGTATAATAACCTGACACAGTTTCTCTAACCTTCTCCTCTTACACCTTAAAGAATCAGACAAGGCAATCCTAACTTTCTTTCTTACTGTTTCCTTCTTTGAGAAGCTACCTGGATTTTAAATAACTGCTCTTGTATCCATTTTTTAAAGTTATTTCTATACTGCTCTACAATGGTCCAGACAGAACTGGTATGCAGTTCTTATTCATTCAGCAGATGGCAGCTGAAGTCAGGAGCACCTTTGCATAAAGCTTTCTTGTGTGCCAATTGTGTCCCTACCTTGATTAAGAGGTCTTCACAATCACTCATGAGGCTATCTTTGTAGACCACTCAGAAGTTACAACTGGTCTAGAATGTAGCCATGCAACTATGGGCACTTCTTATTTCGTTCACATAGCTCTGGTAGGCTTGGTGTTGTAGGTTATGTGTATAGCTCTTCATAGTTTAGTCTAGTCTTTCTCCTTTTGTTTCCATTTGATCAGTTAGATCTGACTAAGTTGATAAGTTCCAGTTGTAAACCAGTGTCTTCTTGAAGGCCTAAGAAACGCACCTCAGTATCTGGTTGTCCTGCAGAACAGCATTCCCCCTATGTTTTGCATAGCTGCACCCTATTGGGCTTTTGTAAAGTTGTCAAAACCTAGCTCTTCTGGCAAGTCTTGGGGAAGGATACAACGATCGGCTCCCTAGTGAAGATTGGCTGAGAAAATGTTTATTTATTCTTCACTGTTGCATATTTTGTATTTACTGGTGATCCTGCCCTTTTATACTTTTCCTTCTTAGTTTTTGCTTAATAGAAAATAATCTTAGTAGTTAAAAGTCATATCAAGTTGAGGTAGCATACGAGTGGTAAAATATAAAATAAAACAGTAACTGCTAACGTTCAAACAAGTGGCAAGTCTAAAAATAATGCCTATGTTTTGTCTAGATGGTTACATTCATAGCTCAGATTAGGCTCTGGCATTTGGCATGAAACTATTCCTGTTTGCTAGAGGCAAATTAATCCCAAGCATCTTTTATTAGGTTTTAAGGGTGTTTGGGCAGTTTTTCAAGAAAGCTTAAAAAGACAATCAATACTTAAAATGATTTTTAAACAAATATTAAGTCATAATGGTTCATACAAAAGGCCTATTTTGCCAACTGAACTATGCCTGTGTATATTTCATACATTACATCATATTCCTGGTTTCAATAGCTTTATTAATGAAAAAGGGTAGAAAAGTATAGAAATTATACATATATATAAAGAGTTTAAATGTAGGTCACTTACTTTTTACATTTTTCACAACTGTACATATTGTCACCTGCAGACATTGTAAAAAAAAGAACAAACATTATTCTAAAAATATAGAAAATTATCTTTTACCCCTTTAACTCACACTAAACATGTTTGATTTTGCAATATAGTAAATAGATCCTAGAATTTTATAAATTACTTATCCTTGTGAATTGGGAAATTGTTCTTAATTAAAAATCCATAATATGGTTCAAAAGTTAATCTTTTGCAACTATGTTTTCTGAATGTTTGTCCTTGAAAATATTTTTCAATTCAATTTCAACAATAATGCAGAGGAAACTCTAATATGCTTTCTGTTCTGTTCTGAAACCTGATTCAATACACTAAATCACACAGTTGGTAAATTAGAATTTGATATTTGATAAAATATAAATCTCTTACCTTTCAATTCATCTCTAGCAAAAAAGGCAGCAAGACAATCTTGTAAGGTTACTGTTGGACCCCAAAACCAGCTAGGGACACATGAGACAACAAACCTGAAATATCATCGATAGAAAAACAGCAATTGTTCTGCTGTTATAGCAGAAACATCAGTGCAGAAGAATTACTGAAGTAGCAGAAACAAAAAAACTAACCTTTTGAAATATTCCACAAAAAACGCAATCCAACCTTGAGGAGCATATGCTTCACCACAAGATCCTGCCTTGACAAGAGAAGTTTGATGATTTGCAGAATGCAGTTTAGCAAGATCTTCTTTACCTGGAATGGGTAAAGACAAATCCTGGAAAGTTTCCAGTGTAACTGAAACCTATGAAAAATAAGCATAAACACTTATTTGTCAATGTACTTAATCAAATTATATAATTGTATTTGCTTCTTTTAAACTTCTCATAAAACAAAACATAATACTGCTTATCTGCAATTATACCACTTGATGGGAAGTAACATATATTTAAGTTCACTATAAAGTATGCATAAGTTACAGGTTTACTGTAAAGTATGAATAAATATAAATATATTGATAAATATAAAAATATAAATAGTTCAGAGTATAAAAATTTAAAGAACTATGAACAGGAGAAGGACTAGTCAGACATGTTTGGAAAATCTAGCTTGGATAATCCAAGAATTATTTATATATATTACTTTTTTTAAAAAAATCCACACAAAAAGTGAGAATTGTTGCATAAGCACTATAAAACATACCCGATCACATGTGAGACATTGTACAGAACTTAAAATAGAACCATCAAATATGTCTGATATAACACTTCGGTATTTTTTGTTTTTCTTCTTTTTAGAGGAAGGCGCTGTTGGAACTAAAAGAGCAAAAAAAAAAAAAAAACAACAACAACAGGCAGCTAACATTGTTTATTCATTCATTATAATTCATGTCCATGTAATTATGCAATCTCACCCCAATAGGATCAATCCACCCATCCGTGCCAGCAGAGAGAACATGTTGTGGGCTCAATCAGTCAGAGAATTCCAGTGGGAGGGGTCCAGGAGAAAAGATCTCTCTGCCATGGCCGCTGCCCTTTGGAACCTCATATCCCCAGAGGTGATACCTCTTTGTGCTTCATCCCCCCTCTTTTAATGATTTTTTTTAGCATAATTATGATTATTATAACTGTCTTAGTTTTAATGTTTGTAAGTGTCCAAATTTGCCTCTGGATGAGATGGGTAGCATACATAAACCCAGTGAATAAATTAATAAAAATGTCTTCAGCTTCAGGGCAAACTGGCCTCAATCACAATTCTGCACCAAAAATGGTAATAATCATAGGATTATAGACTGTTTATAAGCAATTTTCATCTGCATTCTGAATTATTCCAGCCAGTTCAGTATCTGAGTTTTATACAGCAATAATTATATCATTCTACCTCATGCATGTATCAAAAAGATGATTTCATTTGCAATTCTTTGAGAAGCTGTAAGTATAGTCTAATGCAGGGTTGTCATACCTGTGGGCCATATCATGATGTATTGTTGTGGGTGTGGCCCATGCGGGTCATATGTGGCCTATGGGCCACCAGTTTGACCAGCCTGGTCTAATGGACATGGAGGGATAGAGTGAGACAGACTCTCAAAAGTAATGTCAGTGTAAGGCAGCTGGATTTGGAGAAACAAACAGCAACTACTCACTTGATTAGCAGCTAAAGTAGCACAAAATATTTGCAAGGCTACCTTAGTATACATCCTGCAAAAGTAAGCGTTTGATGGCACTAATCTACCTTACTTGATGTTGAAAAAGCTAAGAAAGGCCCACTAACATTTGGAGATATTTAAAACAAAATCAAAAGAAAGCAATGGCAAATCATTTCTTTGTTGTAACCCAAAAATATACATAGAAGTTGTCCATGTAAGCACCAGGAGTTTAACTTGACTTAGAAGAGGATATACTTCATCTTAGAATACTAGCAGATAATCTCACTTAAATGTTAGCTTTGGAACAGAAGATAAATTTACAAATGTGCAAAATTATTTCAACTCAATGCAATGCAATAAATCAGAAGAGATTTTTTTTTTAAATGAGTCTTACTAGAAGTTTGAAAACCCTGAAAAATGAAAGACTGTGATATTGGAAAATAGCACTGTATTTAAATAGTGCTTCGACAAACCTAGCAAAATGATGCAACTCCCAAAAGGCAAGCAACAAACAGAAGTTACAATTCTAATGCTTAATCCCTAGATAAAAATTGTGAATGCTTGCCTTCAGTTATATTTCTGTCTTACTTTTTTGTGGATTGGAAAAAGGGCTAGCAATTAAACAAAGTCTCTTAATACAACAGTGAACAACTTCCCTTGAGGGGTGATTTCCCTGACTAGCTGTAGACTACAGACCAAAGTCTCTTAATTTTGGCATCTTTAAGGTATGTGGAGTTCAATTCCCAGAATGTTCATGCTAGCTGGAGATTATACGAGTTGAAACATCTTAAACTTTCTATTGCCCACACTTCAAAACTTATTCCAAACCCACTGAAAATGGCCTAAATTCCCATCACAAACTTTGGTAGCAAAATGGCCAAATAAAAACAGATTTGGATTGTTTGGGGAAGCTGGTAGGACTACAGATGGAAATAATGGAAACGTTTCATTTCCACTATTTTTTATTAAACAAAAATGGGTTCTGCTATGAAAAGTATGTCCATGTGCATTTGCTTGTTTGCATGCGTAACTTAAGAGTTAGCCATACAAGGGGGAAAGTTAACTTTATCTGTTGATATGCATGAGCTATCTACACAAATGAAAGCTGAAATTTATCAAATCAATGAACAAATGCCCACATTTCCTATTTATGATCATATACTGTATACTGTACACTTTATTCTAGCCAGTAGTGCTGTGGAACATCCAGTTTTGCATGAATTGGTCATAAAATGTGCTCTGCACTGTGAATGTTTACATGTTATGTTCAATTAAACCATGGCAACATCTAATGTTTATGTAGTATTATGTTCAGCAGACTGTGTTTTTCTATTGTTGTGACTTAGATGAAGTTCAGAGCACATTTTATGACCAATTCATGCAAAACTCCACGTAATCCCAAGGGGTTCACATACTTTTTCTTGTAACTGTATGTCTCCTATGCCTGCATCCATTCCACTGTCACTTTTGTTCATTGTTAATATAGATGTCCTATTCCTTTTCTTTCATTTGCTTAGGTCAGTGTTTTTCAACCTTTTTTGTGCAAAGGTACACTTTTTTCATGAAAAAAATCATGAGGCACACCACCATTAGAAAATGTTAAAAAAATTTAACGCTGTGCCTATATTGACTATATATAAAGTGTTTTTCCCACGGCACACCTTACACTATGTCACGGCACACTAGTGTGCCGCGGCACAGTGGTTGAAAAACACTGGCTTAGGTCTTCCATTCACATATTATACTTAGAAATGGTAGAACTTTATTCTGATTTTGATGAAACCACTGGGTATTACAGATTGCTCTATATCTATCTTTCCAAAGTCAGTAAATGCAAAAACATTTCATGTCACACAATAATTAAGCATTATCAGAACCACTTGAGCATGGTCATAGTATGGCACATTAGTAGTTAACATGTTTTAAAGTAAAAAGGATGCTGCATAAGCTTGAAAAACACATAACAGAGAAGGCAAATCTTAGGCAAGTCCATGAAATAGAAATTTGTATTGTTCTTTTAGACACTCCCTAACCTCTGCCTGAGACTGTCCCCACAGCCTCGAGAGTACATATAACAGAAGACAAAGGAAATTAGGAATTAGTTCTATCAGCATGACATCACTAGGTAATCCAAGCTAATGTTATGCATGTATGCCTTTTATTCACTTTCAAATAATATTAATATAATCACCTGAATATCTGCTGTGTATTTGTACCTTCACTGTTTCCTGATTATTCAAAAGTTCAGCTGTTTCACGGAAACCGTTTATATCTTTTTCTGTGTCATCCATAGAATTTGTTCTATTCATTTTGGTACACAAGGATCTCTCTTTTCTATAATCTTTAGATGTATTTCCATCCTCCTCAATTAACATTGCATTTTCTGCAGGGTCATCTGCCACAGATTTTGACCAAGGATCTTTTTCTACCTTATCATTGTTAACACATGACTGAAAATCTGCATCTGATTGACATTTTTCTTCTTCCATTCTCTCCTCAATATTTGTTGTGTTACTATCCTCTATTGTAATAACAGTTTCTTTTAACTCTTCATGAAGCAAATCCATTAAACAACGTAGAAATTCCTGGGCATCCTAAAATTTAAAACAGGTAAGTACACAGTTTAAAATACATATCTCATGTGATAACAGAACAATGTCTGATTTTTTTTCTCCTGCCTGATTTTTTTGCTCTTGTTCCCCATGTCAGAGCCCATTTTATAGAAAAGGGCCCTTGGCCGTCAGAAGATGAGACAAAAGAAAAGTCACTTCCCCCAAAATCATTTCCTTTATACTAGATCTATCACTATAATTAAATTTAAATGTTATATTAATCAACATTTTGAAGATTGAAATGAATTTCTGTCATTTAAATTATTTTTAAAACTAGTTCTCTACCTAGAACTTTCTGCATAGAAAAGAATTAGACTTTCTCTTGTAAGGTGTTTGTATTACATCAGAGTGTAGGTATAAAACTTGAATTAATCAACTTACTTGAATAAAGGAGAAATACTTTAAAAAGCCCAGCAGTTTTTCAGAAACAACCATTATTTCTGTTTCACTATGTTATAACTACTCCCAGTATCTTTTCTGTGCATATATATATTACTTATGTTTTTATTTCTTTGAATCTTGCAACTGTTTAGCAATAATAATTTTTAGTGACCTAAAAATAGAAAAGTCTTACTTGTTGCGAATAGCCTCGAAATGTTGGATTAACTGCTTTAATTCCTTGAAACAAATTTGTGGGGACCACAGCTCCAGGCCTGGAACAAAAACATTTCATTTTGTTTACACTTTCTCAAACTAAATTAAGTACTTCAATGTACCAATGTTCAGTTTAGCAAATCAGGAATTTAAAGCTAGGAAATTCTTAATTTTACTGCCTTCATATATCACAATTATACATAATCTAATAGGATTTATTTCTATGTAAATATATACCAAAATCTACTCTAAGGATGGATATGGTTCCAGTGGTGAATCAGAACTGGATGTTGATTTTATTAAATCAAAGTATTTATTATTGTTAAACATAAGAAAATGAATATGCAGCTATAGTAATAACTGAATAATTACAAACCAGAATTCTAGTTCATGTACTACTAACAAGCATTCCAATGGTGTGTTCCCTTCTACCGTATAGAATTGGTTATCTTTCCACATGTGGAATCTCCCCCCCTCCCAATTCTCATATTCTCAGGTTGTTTCAGATGACACTCCAACCCTCCAGATCAGATGTTGGTGGTACATCATGGAATTTGAGGAATAAAGTAGACAAAATCCATTGTATGAATAGAAATATGTAAGATTGTAAGTAGTTCATTATTTGGAAAGCATTCTCATCTGCAACAATATTATACTGTATATCAAACTATCAAAATGAAAGTAACACCATACCTGCTTTTATGCCAGAGTTCTGTTATAAGTTTGTAGTAACTTCTGCAAATGGCTGGTTTTTTATCGGTCCGAGCTAAACTCCCACAGTCAAGGAAAAATTGTGTCAATGGGGGGCTGATAAGAAAAGAAAAGCACAAACTAGTATTTTGAAAGAATGCTGCATATATCCATATTCAGTCTTAGAAAATTCAACTATCATATGAATTCTCTATCACTAAAAATATATATATAATGTTTAACGTAGTCAATATTACTACTGAATCCTTCTGCATCTTTTCAGCATGCTAAGAGCAAATCTTATATGTTATAATCTATGACAAAAAAGTTACTTTTACCATTTCAACAGTCAATACTTAAGCAAATATCTAATAAATCATATATATATAAATTGTTATTGGAATATGATTCAAGAACTGAACAAGTCAAAAACTGCGTGATTAAAGAGATGGATAATTTAAGCAGGGTAACTGATGTGTAACATATGGGAATATCAATAGAAGATGAATATAAAATGTACTCTGATATTACACAGTATTAGAAGAAATTGGTTTTTAGTAGAATATTAATTCAGCCCTGGCCGCCATATCTAAAGTTGTTCTTTTCCAATGTAAGATTTTAAAACACTAGACTTACTGCTTCAGATTAATTCCAAATTCTTGTTTATTATTTTGACTAAATTTTATCATTTCAACTGTTTTTATCTATTTCTGAACCGATTTTAGTATAAAATGTTCAAATGTTAATCTATTGTATGATTATATTTGTTCCATTCAAATATGACATAATTTTTAAAAAATGTTTTGCAAATTCTTTGTGCAATTTGTACAGTTTGTGAATCTTAAATATTCACTTTTCCCAATTTCCTCCCCGTCTTCTCTACTCCTGTATCTCTAAAAAATAAGAAACAATAAATCCTGCAGAATTGACATCTCAAATATGATGAAATATGATGAAATGAAATCAATATAGCTCATTATTGAACATCTGCTTAGGAAGAACTTTGACATTATATCAAAGTAGATTTCAGTTTTTTTTATTTACCGTATATACTTGAGTATAGGCCGGCCCGAATATAAGCCGAGGCACCTAATTTTACCACAAAAAACTGGAAAAGTTATT